ACCTTGTTAAGAATAACAGAATGGGCCCAGCGCAGTGGCTCACGCCTGTAATACCAGCACTCAACCCCGTCTCTACTAAAAATACAAAAATTAGCCGGGCGTGGTGGCAGGTGCCTGTGATCCCAGCTGCTCAGGAGGCTGAGGCAGAAAGAACTGCTTAAAACCCAGGAGGTGGAGGTTGCAGTGAGCTGAGATTGTGCCGTTGCACACCAGCCTGGGTGCCAGAGCGAGACTCCGTCTCAAAAAAAAAAAAAGAACAGAATGCTCTGGCCTGTTGCAAACTGGTTCTTGCCCCACCTGCTACCAGAGGGGATTTTTCTCTGTCATTGTGAGAACCTGGTTGAGCTCCCGACATAAAGTTCACAAATTTATAGCTGGAGATTTTTCCTTGAGATTTGTCCACAGAAAGCCTCGAGCAGTTTCTTAATTACAGCTCAGGTGTCCCTGCTCCAGCACTGATTCACATGGAGGATTTTGCTCTTTGGGTTTCTGGTCTGGTAAGTTGTGGTACTCTGTATTTGCCTTTCTGTCTCTCCAGTTTTGGGGGCAGTGGTTTGCCCTGTGACCTCACACGAAATATGGAAAACCTTAAGCCATGAGTGTGGATTTTCCTGTTTTTAGTTCCAGCGTGGTTTTGTTGTTGTTTTTCTTTCACTATTTAGTTCCTGTGAACCATCAGGTCTTCTTAAGCTGTAATTTTGAAATTATAATAGGTTAACAAGAAGTTACAAAGAAAGTAGAGAACTCCCCTGTACCCTTAACCCAGTTTCCTACAAAGATTACTTCTTTTTTTTTTTTTTTTTTTTTTTGAGACGGAGTCTCGCTGTGTCGCCCAGGAGGGAGTCCAGTGGCGTGATCTTGGCTCACTGCAACCTCCGCCTCTTGAGTTCACACGATTCTCCTGCCTCAGGCTCCAGAGTAGCTGGGATTATGGTCACCCACCACCACACGCGGCTAATTTTTGTATTTTTAGTAGAGACAAGGTTTCACCATGTCAGCCTAGCTGGTCTTGAATTCCTGACCTCAGATGATCCACCCATCTCAGCCTCCCAAAGTGCTGGGATTACAGGGGTGAGTCACCCAATGTGCTGGCCCAATGGTTACTTCTTATATAACACAATATCAAACACAGGAATTTGACATTGGTATGACATGTGTGTATGGTTCTAGATAATTTTTATCACGTGTAGATTTGTGTAGCTAACACTGGAAACCAGACACGAAACAATTCCAGCACCACAAAGATCCCACTGTGAACGCCACCCCTTAATTAGTCATACCTACTTACCTCTCCTCTTGACAAAAATTCTTTATTTATTTATTTATTTATTTTTTTTAGATAGAGTCTCGCTCTGTTGCCCAGGCTGGAGTGCAATCTTGGCTCACTGCAACCTCTGCTTCCCCATTCAAGTGATTCTCCTGCCTCTGCCTCTGCCTCTGCCTCTGCCTCCCAAGTAGCTGGGATTACAGGTGTCAGCTGCTAGGCCTGGCTACTTTTTCTATTCTCAGTAGAGATGAAGTTTCACCATGTTGGCTAGGCTGGTCTCAAACTCCTGACTTCAAGTGATCCTCTTGCCTTGGCCTCCCACAGTGCTTGGATTACAGGCGTGAGCCACTGTGCCCAGCCTTGACAAAATTCTACAATTCTTTTTCATTTTGAGAATGTTATAGATATAGAATCATATAATAGATGACCTTTAAAGATTGGCCTTTTCCACAGCCTAGTTTCCTCAAGATCCATCCAACTCGTGATATCAATAGCTCCTGACTTGTTATTGTTGAGTATTCCATGGTATGGATGGGCAACTGTTTATTTAACCATTCATATATTGAAAGACATTTTGATGCTTTCTAGTGTTTTGCTATTACAAATAAAGCTGCTATGAACCATTTTATACAAATTTTTGTGTAGATATAAGTTTTCACATCATTTTTGGTCTATATATTTTGAAACTATGTTATTGAATGCATACACATTTAGAATGTTTATGTTTCTCTTTTATAAAATGTCTCTTCCATCACTATAAAATGCATCTCTTATTGTTATGAAATATCTCTGTGGTAATGCTTCTTGTCTTAAATTCTACATTTTAAAAAATATTGGCCGGATGTGGTGACTCACACTATAATCCCAGCACTTTGGGAGGTTGAGGCGGGAGGACCACAGGAGGTCAGGAATTTGAAACCAAGCTGGCCAATATGATGAAACCCTGTCTCTACTAAAAATACAAAAATTAGCTGGGCATGGTGGTGCACACCTGGAATCCCAGCTACTTTGGAGGCTGAGGCAGGAGAATTGCTTGAACCCAGGAGATGGAAGTTACAGTGAGCTGAGATCACGCAACTGCACTCCAGCCTGAGTGAGAGTGTGAGACTCCATCTCAAAAAAATAAATAAATACATACATAAATAAAGTTAATATAGCCATGCCAGGTAAAAAAAAAAAACAACTAAAAATAGAGTTAGCTTTTGTTTTGTATATTTTTAACATTTCTCTTCTAGATCCCTTACTTTATATCCTTATGCATACTTTCCCCCATGGCATTTTTTAAATTGTGGTAAAACATACATAATATAAAATTTGCCATTTTTATTATTTTAAGAATACATTTTGGTAAAATTAAACACATTCAGTGTGGTGGAACCATCACCATCATCCATCTCCAGAACTTTTTTAGCATCCCAAACTGAAACTCTATAACCATTAAACAAAAACTCCCCATCTGCTCCCCTTCAGCCCTTGGTACCCATTGTCTGTCTCTATAAATTTAGCTTGTGTTTTTATGTATCTAATAGAAGTAGATTATACAATATTTGTCCTGTTTGGCTTTTTTCACTTAGCTTAATGTCCTCAAAGTTCATTCATGTCATGGTATTTATGAGAATTTCATTTTTTCTAAGGCTAAAGTATATCTCATTGCTTGTATATATCGCACATTATTTATCTGTCAGTGGACATTGGGTTAAATATATCTTTTTTGGGGGGAAGAGGATAACAAGGTCTCACACTGTCACCAGGCTGGAGTGCAGTGAGGCTGGAGTGCAGTGGCAGCTAATTTTAAAATTGTATTGTAGAAGTAGTGGTTGCATTTTGCTCAGTCCAGTCTTGAACTCCTTGCCTCAAGGGGTCCTTCAGCCTCAGCCTCCCAAACTGCTGGGTGTGACCCAGCAGATGTGACCCACCATGCCCAGCCCCATCTTTTGACTGTTGTGAATAATGCTGCTGGGAACAATTGGTGTGCAAGTATCTGAGCTTCTGCTTTCTGTTGTTGTTGTTGTTTTTTTTTTTTTTTGAGACGGAGTCTCGCTCTGTCACCCAGGCTGGAATGCAGTGACTCGACCTTGGCTCACTGCAAGCTCTGCCTCCCGGGTTCAAGTCATTCTCCTGCCTCAGCCTCCCTAGTAACTGAGACTGCAGGCACCCACCACCATGCCCGACTTGTATTTTTAGTAGAGACAGGGTTTCACTGTGTTAGCCAGGATGGTCTCGATCTCCTGACCTCGTGATCTCCCTGCCTCAGCCTCCTAAAGTGCTGGGATTACAGGCGTGAGCCACCGCGCCCGGCCGAGCTTCTGCTTTCAATTCGTTTAGATAAACACCTAGAAGTGGAATTGCTGGACCATATAGTAATAATATGTTTAATTTTTTTAGAAACTGCCATACTGTTTTCTACAGTGGCTATACTATTTTACATTCCCACCAGCAATGCACCAGAATAATAATTTTCTATATCCTTCCTGGTATTTATTTTGCTTTTTGTTTTCTTTTTCTTTTTTTCTAATAGCCATCCTAAGGGATCTCAGATGCTATCTCACTGTGGTTTTGATTTGCATTTTCCTAATGGTTAGTGAAGTTGAACATTTCTTGATGTGCTTATTGGCTATTTGTGCTTCTATCGTCTTTGGAGAAATGATCCAAGTCCTTTGCCCAATTTGAACTGGGTTGTGTTGTTGTTGTTACTGTTGAGTTGTAGTAGTTCTTTACATATTCTGGATATTAATCCTTTGTCAGACATATGCTGCGCAAATATTTTCTTCCATTCCATGAATTGTCTTTTCACTCTTTTGATTGTGTCCTGACTAATTCAATAAATAATTCAATAAAATCTGACTAAACAGTGCCCTGACTATAAATGTTTTTATTTTATTTTATTTTTATTTTTAAATATTTATTTATTTATTGTTTGAGACAAAGTCTCGCTCTGTCGCCCAGGCTAGAGTGTAGTGGCACAATCTTGGCTCACTTGAATTTCCACCTCTCAGGTTCAAGTGATTCTCCTGCCTTGGCCTCCCAAGTAGCTGAGACTACAGGCGCAGGACACCACGCCCAGCTAATTTTTGTAATTTTAGTAGAGATGGGGTTTCACCATATTGGTCAGGCTGGTCTCGAATGCCTGACCTCAGGTGATCCACCCGCTTCGGCCTCCCAAAGTGCTGGGATTACAGACGTGAGCCACCATGCCCAGCCTACAAATGTAACTAATTCGATGAAGTCTAATTTATCTATTTTTGTTATTGTTCTCTGTGCTTTTGGTATGATATCCAAGAAATCATTGCCAAATGTCATGAAGATTTTCCCCAAGGTTTTCATCTAAGAATTTTAAAGTTTTAGCACCTATGTTTAGGTCTTTGATCTGTTTTAAGTTAGTTTTTACATGTATTATAAGGTGAACATCCAACTTCATTCTTTTGCATGTAGATATTCAGTTTTCCTAGCACCATTTGTCGAAAAGTCTGTTCTTTCTCCATTAAATGGCCCTGGCACCCTTGTCACAATTCAGTTGCCCATACAAGCCACAGTTTATTTCTGGACCCTCTATTCGCTTGTGTCTGTATGTCTCTCCTTATGCCAGTACCATACTGTTTTGATTACTGTAGCTTTAAAGTAAATGTTGAGATCAGGAAGTATAAAGCCTCCAATTTTGTTCTTTTTCTTTTTCTTTTTTTTCTTTTTGCATAAAGACAAACTTTATTGAGCCCCTAGCTCTCTTTATTGAGCACTAGCTCTCTTTCTCCTGCACAGTCTTGGTTCCTTGGAGAAGTCCAGTCGGGTGGGCAGCAGTGAGACCCACTTTGCAGCCAGCAGGGGCATCTCTGCGGATGATGGAGGGCTTGCCAATGTGCTGGGGGTTACCACCTTCAAAAGGATGCTCCACAGGGTTCCACTACTCGTGGCCAGCAATTCCTCTTTGCCTTATATTTGTAGTAGGCCCTGCCAGCCTTCAAGATGGGTTTGTCAGTTCGGCCACCTCCAGCCACCACACCAACCACAGCTCTGTTGGCTGAGGAGATAACCTTCTTGGAGCCAGAGGGCAGCTTCACATGGGTCTTCTTGGTCTCAGGGTTGTAGGAGATAACGGTGACATAGTTCCCTGATGCCTGGGCCAGCTTGCCACAGTCTCCAGGTTTCTCCTTCAGGCAGCACACGATTGTACCCTCAGTCATGGGGCCCACAGGGAGCATATTGTCAACGTTGAGCTGAGCCGTCTTGCCGCAATACACAAACTGGCCTGTGTGAATGCCCTCGGCGGCAATGAATAGCTCCGTTTGCTTTTTAAACCGGTACGGATCTCGGAAAACCACCTTGGCGAGGGGCGCGCTGCGGCCCGGGTAGTGGATGACGTACTTCAGAGTGCCCTTGATGTAGCCGTGCCGCTCCGCGAAATCTACGGCGTCCAGGCACGCGGAGCCTTAAAGGTGCTTCACTTGCGCAGGGAACACAGACCCGGCGCCCTTCCTCTGCCCTTTGATCACGCGGCCCATGGCGACGGGTCCTGGTCATGAGCGTGGCCGAAAGAGCTGTTCTTCTTTTTCAAGATTAATTTGGCTATTTAGGATCCCTTGAGATTCAATACGAGCTTTAGAATGGATTTGCTTATTTCTGTAAAAAAACATTATTGGGATTTTGATAGAGTTTATGTTGAATCATAGATAGCTCTTAGTGTTAACTAATTGAACACCAATGTCCTTCCTTTCATTGCTGTCTTCTTTCATTCCTTTCAGCTATGTTTTGTAGTCTCCAGCATACAAGTCTTCTTCCTCCTTGATTAATTTTAATCCTAAGTATTTTATTCTTGTTGATCCTATTGTAATTGGAAATGTTTTTCTTTTCTTTTTTGGAGACGGAGTCTCCTTCTATTGCCCAGGATGGAGTGCAGTGGCGCAATCTCAGCTCACTGCAGCCTCTGCTTCTCCTGCCTCAGCCTCCCGAGTAGCTGGGACTACAGGCGCGCGCCACCATGCCCGGCTAATTTTTTCGTTTTGTTTGTATTTTTAGTAGAGACGGGGTTTGACCATATTGGCCAAGTTGGTCTCGAACTTCTGACCTTGTGATCCGCCCCTCTCGGCCTCCCAAAGTGCTGGGAGGATTACAGGAGTGAGCCACCGCGCCCGGTGGGGAAATGTTTTCTTAATTGTCTTTTCAGATTGTTCATTAATAGTGTATAGAAATGCAACTGAGTTTTATATCCTTCAATTTTATCGAATTTGTTTACTGGCTGTAACTTTTTTGTGTTTATATATATATAAAACATCGAAGTTTTTTATATATAAAATCATCATCTGTGACAGAAATACTTTTACCTTTTTTTCCAGTTTGGATGCCTTTTATTTCTTTTTCTTGTTTGGTTTTTTTTTTTTTTTTCCCCCTCTATCTAGAACTGCCAATACCAGCTAAATACAGTAGTAAAAGTAGGCATTCCTGTCTTGTTCCTGATCTTACAGAAAAAAACTTTCAGTCTTTCATTATTGAGGATAATGTTTATAAAAAGCCTTTATCATATTGAGGGAATTTCCTTCCATGTGTACTTTATTGAATTTTTTTTTCTTATCATGAAAGTGTTTAAAGTTTGTCAAATGCTTTTTTTTGTGTTAATTCAAAAGACTTTTTTCTTTCATTCTGTTTATGTATACATTATGTTAATTACTTGTTTTGTATGCTGAATCTTTCCATTTCAGGAATAAATCCTACTTTGCTGTGGTGTAAAATCCTTTTAATATATTGTTGAATTCAGTTTGCCAGTATTTTGTTGAGGAATTTAGCGTTGATAAAAAAATATTAGCCTGTAGCTTTCTTTTTGTAATCGCTTTGTCTGCCTTTGGTACCAGAGTAATGCTAGCTTAATAAAATGAATTAGGAAGTGTTTCCTACTCTTCAGTTTTGTGGAAAAGTGTGAGAAGGACCGCTTAATTATTTAAATGTTTGATAGAATTCATCAGTTAAGCCAGCTGGTCCAGGGCTTTTTTTCATGGTAGGTTTTTGATTACTGTTTCAATATCCTTACTAGTTATAGGTCTTTTCAGATTTCTAATTCTTTATGATTCAATCTTTGTAGATTGTGTGTTTCTAGGAGTTTGCTCATTTAATCTAGGTCATCCAATTTGCTGGCATACAATTTTCATAGTGTACTCTTATAATTCTTTTTATTTTTGTAAATTTAGTAATAATATCCCCGCTTTCACTTCCAATTTTAATACTTTGAGTCTCTTTTCTTTTCTTTTCTTTTCTTTTGTTTTTACTTAGTCATTCTAGCTAAATGTCAAGTTTGCTGACAATGTAGACAACTTTTCAAAGAACTTCTGGTTTTATTGAATTGTCTGTATTGTTTTCAGCCTGCCTTTTCTGATGGCCTGTCTTTTATTACAGCCTGCCCTATGGATTTAACACTTTCTAACCAGTCTCTACAACTCAACTGCATAACCCTATTACTTCTTCAATTTATCAGTCTCTCCCTGTGCACCTCTCTCCCAATCTCTCCCTCTCTCTCCCTCTCCCTGCCTCCTTCTCCGCCTCTCTCTCCCACCTTCCCCGCCTCTTACACACGCACACACACACACACACATACACACCCCTTGATGAGTACATATAAAATGAACACACCTGGTAAACCAGAGCATTTCCAGTTCCTTTTCAGTTACTACCCACTCTTCCCAGAGGGAAGCACTATTGTGACTTCTGGCTGGACAGCGGAATGTTACCTGCTTTATAATTTAAATCAGTGGAGCCACAGAGTACTGTCCTTTTCTGTCTGGTTTATTTTAGCTAACATCTCCGTGAGATTCATCCACATAGTTGTAGATTGTTCATTATTGTTGCAATAGATTATTTCATGTGAATTAATTCATGCATCTGCTGATGGGCACTTGCGAAGTTTCCAGTAGTTTTTATTATTCTGAATAGTTTACTGGGCATTCTGGTAAATATATTTGGTGAATATATGTACCAATTTGTGGTAGGCAAATAACAACGGTCAGGATGTGATATCTTTGATTTTAATAAGTAGAAAGTCTGAAATATATGGAAAAAACTACCAGGAAAAAAAAATCTGAGTAGAACATAGAGATTTTCTAAAGCCAAACCTGGATTGTCTCGCCCTAGGTGCCTCAATTCCAATGTCTTCCAGCGGGGTTGTTTCCGTAGTGTAGTGGTTATCACGTTCGCCTAACACGCGAAAGCTCCCTGGTTCGAAACCAGGCGGAAACAAGTGGTCCCCTTTCTTAAGTTTTATTCCTGAGAGTCTCCATTTGAACTAGATAGGACCTTTGTATATGATCAAGCACCTAAATCAAAGGATCTCATATCCTCCTTTTTTTGATTTGAGCCACCTCAGGAACAATTTTGCTCCCTCCTTTGTCCTCAGCCGCGGTGAGGCCCACATCACCCCATCTTGCCGCGCCCCAGCATGTCGCTGTCCCAGCTCCCTCCCCTTATGCTCTGTGTGGCCTGTAGGTTCTAGGGCCCAATGGCGTCAACTCGAGTAGGCTCTAGTGGTGCAGGATCCCGCCTATACTATGCAGGTGAGATTGGCTTCCTTGAAATTTCCAGAGCCACTTGTGCAGGTTCTTTGCCAAGAGATTTTCCTTAGGGGTTTCTAAAAATAAGCAATGCTTAGGACCCAGGTCCGTGAGAAAAAAATAAAAAAAAGAAACAGGGCCACGCTTTGAGCCAAGTGAATAACTGATATTCTATTGACTTCCCTTTACCCCTAAGTGAAGAGAGAATTTTTCATAAAATAGGTAAGAGGCAATTTCATGTGGATACTTAGAAACTGTCAAGTATTTAAAAAAAAAAAAAAAAATATATACTGGCCTGGCCTCTATGAGTACTCAACGCCAGATGTTGGCATTATGGGTAAGATGCGCCAATCAACTGAACTCATCAGTAACAAAAGAAACTGATTTCTTTCTTAAACTTAAGAGTGTGCTAGGCTGGGCACGGTGGCTCAGGCCTGTAATCCCATCACTCTGGGAGGCTGAGGCGGGCGGATTACTTGAGGTCCGGAGTTCAAGACCAGCTTGGTCAACATGGCAAACCCCTATCTCTATAAAATTACAGAAATTAGCTGGGTGTGATGGCACACACCTGTAGTCCCAGCTACTTGGGAGGCTGAGGTGTGAGAATTACTTGAACCTGGGAGGAGGAGGTTACAGTGAGCCAAGATTGTGCCACTGCACTCCAGCCTGGGCAACAGAGTGAGACTCTGCCTAAAAAAAAAAGTGTGCTAAACCAGCATTGTCAGTTTAAATTTCACTGTAATAAAGCAGACAATTCCTTAACTTCTAATATCCACCTTCCGTAATCTACCTGTAGTGCCTCAATGAGTTTTTTAAGAAACTCTCCAACCAAATGGTTATAAATTACTTGTTTTAACAACAAAACCAAAGAGCAACAACAACAACAAAAAAGCTTGATATAGGGAAAAAGAGAAGGACCACATTCATGTAACTTTAATTACAGTATATTGTTATAATTGTTATACTTTATTATTAGTTGCTGTTATTTACCCTGGCTATTTTATCAGTTAAACCATTATAGGTATGTGTTGTAAACCCAAAATATCTGAGACAGATCTCAACCAATTTAGAGAGTTTATTTTGCTAAGGTTAAGGATACACCTGTTACACAGGCTCAGGAGGTCCTGACAACCTGTGCCCAAGGTGGTCAGCGTACAGCTTGCTTTTATACATTTTAAGGAGACATGAGACATCAATCACTATGTGTAAGATGTACATTGGTTTGATCCAGTAGGACTGGACAACTCAAAGTGGTGGTGGGGTCTTCCAGGTCATAGGTAGAAAAGACACAAAAGACAAAAGTTGCATTCCTTTGAGTCCTTGATCAACCTTTCACTGAATACACAATTTAGTTTGGCTCAGTGAATCTGCATTTTTACATAAACAATAGGGCAGAGGAAACAATCAGATATGCATTTGTCTCAGGTGAGCAGAGGGATGACAGTTTGGTTTTTTGTTTTGTTTTGTTTTGTTTGAGACAGAGTCTCACTCTGTCACCCAGGCTAAAGTGCAGTGGTGCGATCTTGGCTCACTGCAACAACCTCCTCACTGCAACAACCTCAGCCTCCTGGGTTCAAGCGATTCTCCTGTCTCAGCCTCTCCAATAGCTGGGATTACAGGCGCATGCCACTACACCTGGCTAATTTTTGTATTTTTATTAGAGACAGGGTTTTGCCATGTTGGCCAGGCTGGTCTCCTGACCTCAGGTGATCTGCCCACCTTGGCCTCCCAAAGTGCTGAGATTAGAGGCGTGAATGACCCACTGCACCTGGCCAGAGGGATGACTTTCAGTCCCACACCTGTGAAGGTAAGCTATCAGTTTACATTGCCAGGGTGAAATTCAACAGAATTGTTTTAGGATAAATACCTTAAGGCCTTCAAGGAATTTCCTTGTGGGCAAATTGTGAGGGAGGTATGTAGCTCTTTTATCTTTTTAACTATCTTGTTTAGGAATAAAATGAGAGGCAGGT